TGGTCACCAGCACCATCATCACAGCCACTATCACCACCACCATCACCACCGGCGTCACAACCATCAACATCATCACCACCACTACCGCTGACTACCACCATCACCGCCACCAGCACCACCACCGTCACCACCATCATCATCATCATCACTACCACCGTCACGACCATCAACACCATCATCACCACCATCATCGGCGCCCACCTTTATTTGGTGCCCTCTACACCTCCAGACCTTAGACCTTTAGACACACTCTTTGGGGCCTCTTGCCGGGATAATATGTTTAAAGGGCTGCTTTTCCGGTCAAATGTGGCCCCGCATGAAATCGTTATTCTTAGCCGAATGACCTGTCAGCGCTTGCGCAATTGCTGTTTGAACAGGCCTTACAGCTCCGAATCTTTTTGGTGGAGGTGGGCCTCCTTCTTTGAGTGCCTGCCTTGGCATCCCGTGAAATTGCAAAGCAATGCAAGGACAGAAGACTTTTGATGTGATGGAAGCAAGCGGAGCAAGTCTTCGAGTCAAACGCTCTAGACTCTAAACATTGGAACTGGGGGCGGGCGGGAGAACCGTTTGTTTTTTCTTAAACAGGGGCGGGAACACCATTGCAAGACTCCTGCCAACGAAACGCTTGCAAGTGGTGGTGAAACCAGACCGGATCAGCTGGCGTAGCGGCTGTGTTTACCACGTACTTCCTTATGGGCCCCTTCATTTCTGCAGATGCACGTTTGACGTTTTGGAGCTTGGACATTTGAGCTTTGTACATGGAATGACTTTTCATGAGGGACTTAGAACGGCTTTCCATGGTTGGACTCCTTTGCGTTCCTTTTGCCATATTTTTTCACCCAGGCATTTCAGCTCATGGCACTCACACCATACGTGCTCTTATCTCGAGTGTGTGTGTGTGTGTGCGCATGTGTCGCGGACACCTGAGAAACTGGCGGCGCTGAGCAGAAAGTGCAATTCCACCCCAGGAATTCCATTCAATCCATCTCCGCAAAAATGTTGAGCGTCAGCTCAAACGGGACAAAGAATTCAGCAGCACAGTGGTTCAGTGGTTTCTGCCAAACAGCATTCACTTATGAGCAGCAAAAGCATTCGCCACTCGGATTGGGATTGGCCGCAGTCGTCACATTGCCGCAGCTATGTTGTGGCTGGAAGAGAAAACAGCAGAGAAGCGGGCCTGCGCCACCGGAATTCAAGACCGACAAGACCCCGATAGTTGCCAGTACAAGAGTTAGTGGATGAGCATCCACACAGACCTCACGCTGCTATCATTTCTTGGCGCGTTTGCTGTCTCCGTTTCCTCTCCTTTGCTGCTTCTTCGTAAAGGAGCTATTGCAATCACCATAGCAACTGTTGCTCCACTTCCGTTGAAAGTGTTGCCATCTTTGCGAACCTTCTCTTCTTTTCCAATCTTCTCATCTTCTCCATTCACCATCTTCAGTCGTGCTCCACTGGGAATGTGGTTTGGCTTAGGCGTTAGGGGGTTGAGTGTTCTTTGGTGGTTTTCCACTTTTGAGACTGACGCCCACATAGCAGGTATACGCAATGGCAAGCACGCGGCTGGAGGTACCCCCTTTGCACTGTTGCCTTCGCGCTTCTTCGTCGATCGATGACGTCCTTCTGACCAGATTTGTGAGCACCTCCTGATGTTGTTTTATAGACGGCTCAATTAGTTTAAGGAGTTTTTAAAGGATACAAAGGGAATGAGAGCGCAGTTAAATAGCTGTGAGAGTTTGACGAGTCAATGTGGGGCGGGAATGAACACATGTTGTTTACACAGAAGCGTGAAAATTCAACAAGCTGGTCACAGTGAAGGCTGAGGGATGTTTAGGGTGTCATACGGTGCAACGCAAAAAGACATGCGCCGGAACAGAACCAACGCACAATTATATTTTAGAAACCAACTACTATCACAGCACATTGTTTGTGCGACATTGATGGCCACAACTGCTGTTACTCATAGATTTATAATGATTTATATAGTATGATTTAGTTGTGATTTCATTGAAACTAAATTGTTCATCCACGTCAGCACAATGAGCCGTTGTGGGTCAGTGCTGTGTGTTTTGCTCCTTGATTTTTCATGAACTTTTTTCCCGCTCTCCCTTCCTCCTTGTCGCTCAAATCCCTTTCACCGCCTCACCAAAGTGTTTGTTGGAGATTTTGTCCTACTTCTTTGCCCGTCCTCGCTCCGCAACCTAGGTTTCAGTGTACCTGGCTACGGCGCCCTGGCACCGCAGGCTGATGCGAGCTGTGCCTGTTGATTGCAGTTGGAAAGTTGGCTACAGCATTGCAAGCATGGTAATTGGCAATGCCCGATCACCCGATAGCTATCATTTCATATTTCTTCATTTGTGCGAAGGCAAGAAGCAGCGCCGCACACTCGCGGATGCCGTGGACTTCCCCTTTGTTCTCTGGGTGAACCCTGGCAGCATTCTTTGGTCAACGCTAACGATCCAGACGCGCTTGATGGAAAAGAGGACTTGCTGGCGTGCGCAGTTGCTGGTCAACCAACAGTTGGCTTTCACCAGAACTGGGAAGCAGCACATGTTTAGCCCCCCTGCAAATGGCTTAATTGCATAGACATAGGCTCGGTGACTCGGAGAGAAACAAGACTGCAATCTTTGCAAACTCAACGTGGAAACCCTGTTCTGCAGAGGAAGACAATTTTGTTGCAAACTAGGATGCGCAAGATGCCCGGGTATATAGACGTGTTCAACTTGGTGTTGTTCGTCTCATTAAACGCCACTGCGCCGCGCCTTAACATTCAATGGTTCAAATTGCTGCCGGTGAAATGAAATGGCAACTGGACCTCAAAATTGAAAAATAATGTTTTGACTGGCCAATGGATGTTTTTCTTTGCACCTGGCGAACTGTCTCGCGTTTGGCTTTTAGTTTGCTTCAGTTTGTTGGCCCGGAGAACTGCGCAAGATAGACTGAGAGGAAATGTCAAGAAGGGAGAAGAAAGACAGAAAGAATTAGCAACGCAGAAACTGGTGCATTCTCGCTCTAGGTAAAGTAGTGCATGTTTATTGCATTGCAAGCAGTGGTGTGTTACTACCGCTAGTTAAATGGCGCGTTCTCACGATGTATCACGGGGGTCCGTGCCCAGACATCCCTTGGCAATTCCGGTCCTGGAGAACAAGTATGCGGACCAATTCAGCGAAACCACGTTGAATCTGTAAAAACCCAAAAAGAACATGTGGAACATGATTTTTGATTTAGAGGAGCCCAAGAAAGGTACAACGATGCAAATGCTCTCGGATCGTGGAAAGCCAACTTGATCCAGGCTATCGTCATTGCAGCAAATGACTCAGACCAACAGCCATGGATTGACTGGGTCAAAGAAGCTATTGATGACCCTGATCCTGACAGGTTGATCGACTCCGACGATCCAAGATTCCACTCTATCGATGCGAAATTGGGACTAGCATTGACCAAGGTTGTCGCAGACTCCAAGGAAGAAGGAAACAACGTTGCCATGAAATTGAGAACACGCATCAATGCAAAAGGGAGAACCTCTACCCTTATCAAGGCAAGAGAAATCCTAGCGTTGATATACTCCTCAACTTCAAGACGACGTCCAACGTTGAGGTATTGTACACATCTATCAGATTGATTACCAAGGAGATTCAATGCTAGGTGTGGGCGACGCAATGCCAAGCGTTCGCGCTGATGACCCTCACACAAAACACCTGATGACAATGCGCGCGCGTACACCTTCCGGGCATTCTTCCTTCCTGGACGTGACC